GAAGGGCAAAAAAATTGTATTATAGAAACAGATTATCCAACTTACGAGGTGATATAAAAAAGACCTGGAAGACCCTATCAGAAATTCTGGGAAACAAAAAAGATATCACGACAGCGAAATAAAATTAGCAAATTCAGATGAACCCCAACTCCCACCATACAGAAACAGAAAACAGACTCAATGATTTCTTCTCCACTATAGGTCAAAACCTTGCCAATAAAATCCCAAGCTCAGATACCCCACCAAATGACTACCTCACTGGCAATACCCGAACACACTGTTCCTAGCTCCGACTAACCCATACGAAAGTCTCCTTATTATCAAGGCACTGAAAAACAAGGCAGGAGATTTAAATACCTTACCACCCTTTATATACAAAAAGCGTCACAAGTACTATCACCAATCATTGCAACACTCTTTAACAAATCCATTGAATCCTCCACTTCCCTACAGTTCTCAAAAATAGCAAGGGTCACCGATCCATTAAAGGAGGAAACCAAACAGAGTTGAATAACTATAGGCCAAAATCCAATTTACACCCTCTCTCAAAAATCTTCGAAAAAATTAATTCATAAACGAAGCTACTCCTACCTCATCTCCCAAACATTCTCAACCCTGCAAATTTGGATTCAGGCCTAATAAAAATACTAATGATGCTATTATACACATGCTAGAACATATATACACTGCAATAGAGAAAAAAGAAGTCCCACTGGGGATCTTCATTGACTTACGTAAAGCTTTTGATACAGTTGGACCATGACTTGCTCCACGTAAAAATTGTCACACTATGGTATTAGAGGGCACTCCCTCAACTACTTAAGTCTTACCTCAGCAACAGAAGCCAATATGTGTACGCAAATGGGGCAAGCTCTTCCGCAAACCAATTACAGTTGGTGTCCCACAGGGAAGTGTCCTTGGCCTCTTCTCTTTTCTATACATAAATGACCTACCCAAATGCTTCGCAATTACTCAAACCCACACTTTTTGCAGATGACACTACATACGTCTTCTCTCACCGAGCCCAGTCACGCTAGCCAATACTGTAAACACCGAATTACAGAAAATATCTACCTGGGATGAGGACTAACAAACTTACACTAAACATTGACAAACCTACTTCATTCAGTTTGGTAACAGAGCTACAGATGTACCTCTTAACATAACAATAAACGGATCACCTATCACAAAGCTAACAGAGGGAAAATTCCTAGGAATCCACTCGATAATAGACTCAAATTTCATACACATTATACAACAAATTTCTAAGAAAATCTCAAGACTGTAGGCATACTAACGAAGATACGGTACTATGTTCCACAGTCAGCCCTCCTTGCCCTTTATCACTCTCTTATTTACCCCTATCTCACCTATGGAATTTGTGCATGGGGCTCAACAACAATTAACCATCTCAGACCACTAATTACCCACAAAAAGGCTGCAGTTAGAATGATAACAAATTCTCACTACAGGCAACACACTCCACCAATATTCAAAACACTCGACCTACTCACCATACAAAACATCCATACTTATTATTGCACCTATTACATACATAGAACACTTAACTCTGATATTAACCCTCCCTCAAACATCTCCTTGCCAACCTCAACAGAACACATGACCATAACACAAGGCACAGATCACTCTTTGATGTTCCTCGTGTCCATCTCACGCTATGCAAAAACTCAATGCACATAAAAGGCCCTAAAATCTGGAATTCATTACCTGTAAATATAAAAGAAACACTACCTGTTTATAAATTCAAGTCTCTTCTCAAAGATCACTTACTCACTCAAAACCAAATAAATACTGAATAACTGAACCTTATAAATTGTATATCCTATATGTTACTCACAATTATATCACACAAATGTTAAACCTAGGACCCAATCTAACTTTATTATTTTTTTAAATACACTACCTAACAGAATACTCCATTCGACTGAATGTACAGCAATGCAAGCAACCATATGACCTGTCTTTGTAATACTCATTTGTGCTTTATAGTTATCTGTTTACAATAATGTTTTATCACTGATTTCATCATTGCTTAGTTAATCTTAAGTTAATTTTAAGCCAGCCCGTAATGCTATGCATATAAGTGGCTTTGGCATGCTGCTCTTACCTGTATTTTTTTGTACCTCTGTTTGTATGCTTAAATTACTAAATAAATAAATAAATAAATAAAAATAAAGATGTGGTAGCCAGATAACTTGTACAAGTGATGCCAAGAATAACATTTTCTCTAATCTAACATAAGAGAAAATGTGTTACTGGGGGTAACTGTAGAAAATTATTCCTTTCGTATGTATGTAAGTAAGTTTATTCAGGTATACACAAATACAGTTACATAGATTATCATACATAGCAACGTATGTGTAGAGAACCTAGGATAACCCAAAAAGTCCGACAGAGTGACTTATTTCCATTGCCTTCACTCAGAGCATCATTTCTTCTCAAAATGATGTTACATGAGAATGGGAGTGTTCTTCTTTATTTATTCTACCGTATCAATGTAGAGACAACCTGTACACAATGTAACTTGTACACAAACCAGACGTGTACACTTTGTTAACAAAACTTACCTTCGCCTGGTTTGTTTACATAACTCTGCGCCTGTCCTCTCTCATGCACTCATTCTTTCTCTCTCTCATTTATTCGTTTTATCTCATTTACTTACTCCTGACCCTACATTAAGACTACAAATATTTTAAGGTAAGTAATGAGTGAACTGTATATACATTTTATCGCTCTGGGATGCTTAAATGTAGTAGAATATTATGTGTAGGTGGGTTGGCCTGGTATGGTAGCCTGGCTGACTACCATACATACCACACTTGACTTTTTACAATAAATACTACTCATCTCACCCTATATTTTAAGGTAAGTAATGAGTGAACTGTATATACATTTTATCGCTCTGGGATGCTTAAATATCATAGAATTGTATGTGTGGGTGGGGTGGCCTGGTATGGTACCCTGGCTGACTACCATACATACCACACTTGATTTCTTACAATAAATACTACTTGTCTCACCCTAGATTAAGACTATAAATATTTTAAGGTAAGTAATGAGTGCACTATGTGTGTATTGTACTTTTTTATTGTTTTTTGATGCCTGGTTCTATTGCTAACTTAATATATGTTAGTGTAAACTTGTTATCTAGTGTTTGTATGCATTTGTAAGTGGAAAAAAAGGGTGTTCCACTTTACGGCGGTTTCCGCTTTACGGCGGTAGCCTGGAACCTAACCAGCCGTATAAGTGGGGCCTTCCTGTATTTTATCTATCATTATTTGTATGTGTGTTTTCTCTAAATATTTAATACTCTTCCACATGTTGTTGATCCAAGGAACTTTACTTGTGCTCACCTTCCTTGAATTAAATCTGATTGCCTCCCATTCTCTGGGTGTTGTATGACCCTGTGGGTTTAATTCTTCCCCTGATTAAAAAATACATACTGTACCCGAAAAGGTGCAATTATATTTTTTTTTAATAAATCCCTCCAGTGAAGGATTTATACTGGTGAGTGGCTCTTACCTAGGTAGTAGGTTGGTAGACAGCAACCGCCCCAGGGAGGTACTACCGTCCTGCCAAGTGAGTAGTAAAACGAAAGCCTGTTTATTGTTTTACATGATGGTAGGATTGCTGGTGTCCTTTTTTCTGTCTCATGAACATGCAAGATTTCAGGTACGTCTTGCTACTTCTACTTACACTTAGGTCACACTACACATACATGTACAAGCACATATATACACACCCTCTGGGTTTTCTTCTATTTTCTTTCTAGTTCTTATTCTTGTTTATTTCCTCTTATCTCCATGGGGAAGTGGAACAGAATTCTTCCTCCGTAAGCCATGCGTGTTGTAAGAGGCAACTAAAATGCCGGGAGCAAGGGGCTAGTAACCTCTTCTCCTGTATATATTACTAAATGTAAAAGGAGAAAACTTTCGTTTTTCCTTTTGGGCCACCCGCCTCGGTGGGATACGGCCGGTGTGTTGAAAGAAAGATTTGTATGTGTGTTTTCTCTAAATATTTAATACTCTTCCACATGTTGTTGATCCAAGGAACTTTACTTGTGCTCACCTTCCTTGAATTAAATCTGATTGCCTCCCATTCTCTGGGTGTTGTATGGACCTGTGGGTTTAATTCTTCCCCTGATTAAAAAATACATACTGTACCCGAAAAGGTGCAATTATATTTTTTTTAATAATCCTCCAGTGAAGGATTTATACTGGTGAGTGGCTCTTACCTAGGTAGTAGGTTGGTTAGACAGCAAACCGCCCAGGGAGGTACTACCGTCTGCCAAGTGGAGTGTAAAACGAAAGCCTGTAATTGTTTTACATGATGGTAGGATTGCTGGGTGTCCTTTTTTCTGTCTCATGAACATGCAAGATTTCAGGTACGTCTGCTACTTCTATTACACTTAGGTCACACTACACATACATGTACAAGCATATATATACACACCCCTCTGGGTTTTCTTTATTTTTCTTTCTAGTTCTTATTCTTGTTTATTTCCTCTTATCTCACATGGAGAAGTGGAACAGAATTCTTCCTCCATAAGCCATGCGTGTTCTAAGAGGAGACTAAAATGCCGGGAGCAAGGGGCTAGTAACCTCTTCTCCTGTATATATTACTAAATGTAAAAGGAGAAATTTTCGTTTTTCCTTTTGCGCCACCCCGCTCGGTGGGATACAGCCGGTGTGTTGAAAGAAAGAGTGGCTCTTAATTCAAGAATTGGAGTTACTTACCCCTTCCTTTGATCAAACCTGATTAGCTTCCATTCTGCAGATTTAGCACTTCTCATGAATATAATACTGTAATAACAACAGGTAGAAAGGGATGACAACAGAACAGTACACAAGCACATTGAAAATTTTTCAACAACAGTGTACAGTTACTTTGATGATGATTTATACTTTGATTATTTGATATTTTGTACCTTACCAATTCCTTGTTGATAATGTTCCAGTAAAAAAATAACCATTTCACAGGTATTATGGCAATTTTGTTCAATGGGATTGTGATGTCACATTACACACACTTCAACCTGTCACCAGTGATGCAGATAACCATGCAACATCTTATGAGAACTTTGGCCCTTATTGCTGAATGTACTGTCTTCATATACCTGGGACTAGCACTTTTTAGCTTCAGACATCAAGTTAGTTATTCATCTGTTTATTACTGTATGTGAAACAAATTAATGAAAAGAATTGTCTCATAATCCACAGTGAAGCTTAATATATACATACAATATATATATGGCTTTATTTTCTTGGATTTCAGTGCTATAAAGAAATAAAGAAAAAAATGTTTTAGTAACCTTGCTGCCCTAGTTGGGAGGGGCATCTGAACTGTAGTATCGGTGCACCTCTGCCAAGACAATGACAGTGAATGTGTTAAATATAATAATAATTTTGTAATTACCTTGTGTAATACTATTCTGTATTTGGGATTTACAGTATTTGATGGAATCTATTATATTAAAAATTTATCCAGAGTTGTTTAGATGTGTATACATGCTTTTTGTTTTCCTCTCCCTCTTGACAGTTCCATTTGGCTTTAGTGTTATGGAGCATTGTTCTATGCCTATTGGGTCGTGCTTTGAAATTTTTCCACTCTCCTGGTTGTTAATAAATTCGTTGACCACCAAATCAACTACAAAATGATGTTTATTATGTGGTTTAGTGGTAAGTAGTAGTGTTTTGATGCAAATAGCTTTTGATTGTTTCTATCCTCTTAAAAAAAAAAATATAAAATAATATAGATTTCCTATTTGAAACCTATTTGTGAATGTTTCCAGTGCCTTGGTGAGTTAACAGCAAACTGCAATTCTCTAATTTAAAGCATTTTTATGTTTATAATTGTACTGAAAATTTGTAAAGAATGATCGTAAAAAATGCTTTTGGAGTGATCGGGATTTGAGCTGGAACTCTGGGATTACTTGCCCAGTGCTGTAGATCTTTTCAGATTCTGGGTATTAAGGTGATGGGTTAGTAATTCTGGGGTGCGAAAGTTCAAATCCCAATGACACCATTGAATTTGCTGTAAGCAGTGTAATCTTTATACCTGTCTTAAAAAAAAACCCTTATTGAATGTTTCTGTTTTGAGGGCTACAGCAATTGGATTTCCTTAATTTTGGAATCTATATTACTTCTTTCCATAATGTGCTATCTATATAATTTTCTTTAAATTCCTGTCTTGCTCAATAGTTATTGTCATTTAATTAAACAGTGCCAAATATTAATTTCAATAATTCTTAAGTTACTATAAATATTTTATTGACAGCCTTAATATTTTTAATTTTTTACCTGCAACTTCTTCCATGGATAAGTTCAGTAACTGTTGATTTATATACCATATATTTTTTTTTTTATTATTTTATTATCACACTAGCCGATTCCCACCAAGGCAGGGTGGCCCGAAAAAGAAAAACTTTCACCATCATTCACTCCATTCACTGTCTTGCGAGAAGGGTGCTTTACACTACAGTTTTTAAACTGCAACATTAACACCCCTCCTTCAGAGTGCAGGCACTGTACTTCCCATCTCCAGGACTCAAGTCCGGCCTGCCGGTTTCCCTAAACCCTTTTCTAAATGTTACTTTGCTACACCCAACAGCACGTCAAGTTTTTTTAAAAAAACCTTTTGTCTCCATTCACCCCTTTCAAACACGCTCAGCATGCCTGTAAAAGTCCAAGGCCCCCCACACAAACCTCCTTTACCCCTCCTCCCCCAACCTTTCCCAGGGCCACCTACCCCCCTTCCTTCCACTACGATGTTTCACTCTTGAAGTTATTCGTTTCGCTCCATTTCTCCAAATGTCCGAACCCCCTCAACAACCCTTCTAGCCCTCGGACAACAGTTTTGTTTTTAATCCGCACCCCCTCCTAACTTCCAAAAAACGAATTTTTGCATTTTATTCAACCCCACATTGCCTCAGACATGACATCTCCATGCCCCCAGCCTTCTCCTCCTGAAAAATTTTATCACCCCTGCTTCACACCCCCTTTAAGGGGTGTTTGGGAAAAACCCATACCTCATCATTCCCCCCTTTTTCCTCCCAAAGGGCAAAGTTCTTTGTTCCCCAGATCTAAGTGCACCCCTACCCCTTTTCCCTCATCAATTCTATGATTTACCCCATCTTTCATGACCATCCGTGACATGTCCACTCCCCAAAAATTGAACATTCACCCCTCCATACTCTTCCCTCCCAAATTTATATCCCAAACTTTTATACCTAATTTTTTTGTTATCCTCATAACTTCTCTTTCCCGATTCACTTTAATTTTCTTTTTGCACACCCTACCAAATTCATCCACCAATCTCTGAACTTCTCTTCAGAATCTCCAAGAGCACAGTGTCTTCAGAAAAGAGAAACCCTGTGACAACTCCCACTTTGTGTGATTCTTTATCTTTTAACTCCACGCCTCTTGCCAAGACCCTCGCATTTACTTCTCTTACAACCCCATCTATAAATATATTAAACAAACCACGGTGACATACACATCCTTGTCTAAGGCCTTACTTTTACTGGGAAATAATTTCCCTCTTTCCTATGTACTCTAACTTGAGCCTCACTATCCTCGTAAAAACTCTTCACTGCTTTCAGTAACTTACCTCCTACACCATACACCTGCAAACCTCTGCCACATTGCCCCTATCCCCCCTTTGTCATACCCCTTTTCCAAAATCCATAAATTGCCACAAAGACCTCTTTAGCCTTATCTAAATACTGTTCATTTTATATGTTTCACTGTAAAACACCCGGTCCACAACCCCCTACCTTTCCTAAAGCCTCCTTGTTCATCTGCTATCTATTCTCCATCTTTCTCCTTAATTTTTTCAATAAAACTCTACCATACACTTTGCAGGTATACTCAACAGACTTATCCCCTATAATTTTTTTCCACTCTTTTATCCCTTTGCCCTTTATACAAAGGAACTATGCATGCTCTCTGCCAATCCTAGGTACCCTTTCCTCTTCCATCATTTATTAAATAATTGCACCAACCACTCCAAAACTATATCCCCACCTGCTTTTAACATTTCTATCTTTATCCCCTCAATCCCGGCTGCCTTACCCCCTTTCATTTTACCTACTGCCTCACGAACTTCCCCACATCACAATGGCTCTTCCCCACTCCTATAAGATGTTGTTCCTCCTTGCCCCATACACGAAATCACAGCTTCCCTATCTTTTCAACATTTAACAATTCCTCAAAAAATTTTCCCCCCTCTTCCCAATACCTCTAACTCTCCATTTAATAATCCTCTCTCCTATTTTTTAACTGACAAATCCAATTTGTTCTCTAAGCTTTCTTAACTTGTTCATCTCACTCCAAAACTTTTTCTTTTTTTCAACAAAATTTGTTGATAACATCTCACCCACTCTCTCATTTGCTCTCTTTTTACATTGCTTCACCACTCTCTTTAACCTCTCTCTTTTTTCTATATACTCTTCCCTCCTTGCATCACTTTACTTTGTAAAAACTTCTCATATGCTAACTTTTTTTCGCTACTATCTCTTCACATCATCATTTTCCCCCAATCGCCCCTTTTCCCTCCCGCCCCCACTTTCCTGTAACCACAAATTCTGCTGAACACCACACTAAATTTTTAACCTCCCCCATCCCTCTTCGCCCATTGCTATGCTTCATTAGCCCATCTATCCTCCAATAGCTGTTTTATTTTTCCCTAACTGCCCCCTCTTTTTTTTTAAAAAACCTTACCTCTCTCTTCCCTGATGCTTCTATTTCCTTTTATCCCCTCCCTTTTACTTCAGTTTTAGCTAAAATAGAAAATGATCTGATATATCTGTGGCCCCCCTATAAACATGACATCCTGAAGTCATCAAAGTCTTTTATTACCAAAACCTAATCCCCAAAAATTTTTTATTTCGCCCTACTCATATTTGTTTTCTTATTTATCCTCTTTTTTTTAAAATATGTATTATCTATAACTAAACCTTTCTATACAAAGTTTTAATCAAAGGGGTCCCATTTCTTTACACTGGCACCCCAAACTTTCCTACCCCCCTCTCTAAAAAGTTTCTCTACTTTTTTCATTTAGGCCCACAAAATTTCCCCTCACTTTGGGTTTAAAGGCTTTTAACATTTTACTTAACATTCCAAATCTTCTCCCCCCTCTGCATTCCTTCTTTACCAGGGGCAACACGTTATTATGGCCATTCTGCATCCCAAACCCTTTATTTAATCCCCATAATTTTGCATTTACCCATTTATTTCTCTTTTCTCCTTCCATAACTGATCATTCAACATTACTGCTACTCCTTCCTTTGCTCTAACTCTCTCAGATACTCCAGATTTAATCCCATTTATTTCCCCCCACCGAAACTCCCCTACCCCCTTCAGCTTTGTTTCGCTTAGGGCCAGGACATCCAACTTCTTTTCATTCATAACATCAGGATATATTTATACATACAGTAATTTAAAAACCATGGTGCACTCCAACAATTTCCTAGTTCCCTAGATTACATCTCCCAAGGAAGGTTAACTTATGCTGGTTATCTACTGTTTTTTTTTTTAGGACTACGAGGTGCTGTTGCTTATGCTTTGGCCCTGCACTTGGAGTTCAGCGATGAAAAACGTCATGTTATAGTAACAACAACACTTACCATTGTTTTGTTCACTATATTCTGTCTTGGGGGTTCTACCATGCCTCTCATTAAGGTAACATATTATGCTAAACACAAGTTTAATAAACGGTCAGTGGCACAAACAAACCCATATGGGACAATAAAGTAAAGATGTGTACATATACTGTATTTTGGTCATCTGAAAAGGACCCAATATGGCATCGAAACATGCAGTAAATACCTGATTTAATGAACAAAATCTGTGGTTGGACAATGTCCAGAAACAATAGGCATAGCATGTTAAACATAGAATTTTACATTACAATGTATTGTTATGATCTGCTGGGTAAATTGATTTAGGAATTTAAAATGTCCAATAAATTCAGAATTGTCTATTTTTTTACTATCATGGATTTTGGATTTAATGGACATTTGGCTTTAATCCATCAACTCTGACTGACGTTCTAGTATGCAGGTGATAAGCACATGTCAGATGTACTAGTTTGCTCAGTTTTTTATGCCTTCAAATATACCACATGCCAGTATTTTTTGCTTCGGTTCAACTACAGCCTCTCTTCACTTAGTGACGTACTTACTTGACCTTGTGTTTGGTTTAAAAACGCGAATGTGAGGGTTTTTTCTAGGATGGTTATGATTTTATTGCCTGTTTCTTAGTATCATTTGATATAAAATGGAAGACATTCTACTGAAAGAGATGATTTTAGCTACTTCCAGGACTAGAAGTAGCTTGAAATTGGCCTAGAAGTAGCAGAAATATTTGATTTTTGCCATTATTCCTGTGGACAGATAAGACCCTCTGATTTATTTCATGAGTTTTTACAAGGTTTGAGTCAATTATTGGGAAGCTATAAACCATGACAAATCATTCCTGGTTACATTTTATTATCTGTATACTTTATATGGTAGTTTGATAGTTGAATAGATAGTTTCTTGTATTCAGTCGATGGAACAGAAGGCATACTAGTAAAATTGTTAAGAATTTAGTCAAATTAAGCAATGGAATTGGCTTAAAATAAGACTGTCAGTGAAATCGCTGATGTGTAAAATGCTCCCTGTCCACTAACTTTGTGCCTGTGTAATTCCATAAGTTCTTCATCAAATTTTGTATTTTTGGTGTCATTACCTTCAGGAAAAGATTCTTGGGGGCCTGAAAAGTAAAAGGGTTAATGCTCTATGTAAATAAAGATGTACAATACTGCATGTAAAATATTGAGTAAATATTCATAGCTAAAAATAAGTGAACTTAGGTGTGGAATATTATGGTTCAAGAATGCATTTGATTATGTGTCTGGGATAAATAGTTCCAAATTCTTAACAGTCAACCTGCAAGCAATTTTCAGGAATGCATTAAATCATAAATGGGGACTTATTGTATTTGAGGTTTCAGTATTAGTATAAGGGCTGTGTGTTATCTGAAGCTAGATTTATACATATATGGTGTTGTTAGCTGCCTTTTGCTGTGATTGTTTTAAAGTAATATATGTATTTTATCAGTAATTTTATCATTACCTGTAAACTTCATTTCAGTATCTTAAGGCTGACAAGCGGCAGAGAAACAGACGACCTAAGGAGCGTGAAAAGGAAATGACCTTAAGCAAAACTAGAGAATGGGTGAGTGTGACTATTTTCAATTTTACTGTATTAATAATTATAAGGGAGCAGTATGTACATAGAATATGTTGAAAGAGCAGTTTGTTGCATTTATGAATTTTAAAAATGGAGGCAAAGAAGGGAATGTACAAGAGTATAGCAGTACCAACACTCTTATGTGGGTGTGAAGCTTGGGTTGCAAATACTGCAGCAAGGAGGTGGCTGGAGGCAATGGAGATGTCCTGTCTAAGGGCAGTGTGTGGTGTAAATATTATGCAGAGAATTTGGAGTGTGGAAATTAGAAGGTGTGGAGTTACTAAAAGTATTAGTCAGAGGGCTGTTGAGGTGGTTTGGTCATTTAGAGAGAATGGATCAAAGTAGAATGACTTGAAGAGCGTATAAATCTGTAGGGGGAAGGAAGGCTGGGTAGCTGTTGTCCTCGAAAAGGTTGGAGGGAGAATGTAACGCAGGTTTTGTGGGTGAGGGGCTTGGATTTCCAGCAAGCATGCGTGAGAGTTAGATAGGAGTGAATGGAGATGAATGGTTTTTGGAACATGACGAGCTGTTGGAGTGTGAGCAGGGTAATATTTTGTGAAGGGATTCAGGGAAACCAGTTAGCCAGACTTGAGTCCTGGAAATGGGAAGTGCAATGCCTGCACCGTAAAGGAGGGGTTTGGAAGGGCTTCTGAATTGTCGTATCTGAGCGCCTCTGCAAAGACAATGATTACGTATGAGTGAGGAAAAGTATTTTTTGGGGGGGGGGGGGGATTTTCTTTCTTTTTGGGTCACCCTGCCTCGGTGGGAGACGACCGACGTGTTAAAAAAAAATATGAGAGGGTGCGTAGGGAAGCTATGTGGCATGTTGCAACTGTATGGAATAATAATTCTTCTTCATGGGGAAGTGGAAAAGAATCCTTCTTTCAAAAGCCATGCATGTCATTAAGAGGTGACCAAAATGCCAGGAGCAAGGGGCTAATGGCCCCTTTCTCCTGTATGAATTATTAAATGTAAAAAGAGCAAAAACTTAATTTTTTTTTTTGAAAACAGGGGGTAAGGCAGCTGGGATTGATGGGATAAAGATAGAAATGTTAAAAGCAGGTGGGGATATAGTTTTGGAGTGGTTGGTGCTATTATTCAATAAATGTATGGAAGAGGGTAAGGTACCTAGGGATTGGCAGAGAGCATGCATAGTTCCTTTGTATAAAGGCAAAAGGGACAAAAGAGAGTGCAAAAATTATAGGGGGATAAGTCTGTTGAGTATACCTGGTAAAGTGTATGGTAGTTATTATTGAAAGAATTAAGAGTAAGACGGAGAATAGGATAGCAGATGAACAAGGAGACTTTAGGAAAGGTAGGGGGTGTGTGGACCAGGTGTTTACAGTGAAACATATAAGTGAACAGTATTTAGATAAGGCTAAAGAGGTTTTTGTGGCATTTATGGATTTGGAAAAGGCATATGACAGGGTGGATAGGGGGGCAATGTGGCAGATGTTGCAGGTTTATGGAATAGGAGGTAGGTTACTGAAAGCAGTGAAGAGTTTTTACGAGGATAGTGGGGCTCAAGTTAGAGTATGTAGGAAAGAGGGAGATTATTTCCCAGTAAAAGTAGGCCTTAGACAAGGATGTGTGATGTCACCGTGGTTGTTTAACATATTTATAGATGGGGTTGTAAGAGAAGTAAATGCGAGGGTCTTGGCAAGAGGCGTAGAGTTAAAAGATAAAGAAGCACACATAAAGTGGGAGTTGTCACGGTTGCTCTTTGCTGATGACACTGTGCTCTTGGGAGATTCTGAACAGAAGTTGCAGAGGTTGGTGGATGAATTTGGTAGGGTATGTAAAAGAAGAAAATTAAAAGTGAATACAGTGAAGAGTAAGGTTATGAGGATAACAAAAAGATTAAGTGATGAAAGATTGGATATCAGATTGGAGGGAGAGAGTATGGAGGAGGTGAATGTATTCAGATATTTGGGAGTGGACATGTCAGCGGATGGGTCTATGAAAGATGAGGTGAATCATAGAATTGATGAGGGAAAAAGGGTGAGTGGTGCACTTAGGAGTCTGTGGAGACAAAGAACTTTGTCCTTGGAGGCAAAGAGGGGAATGTATGAGAGTATAGTTTTACCAACGCTCTTATATGGGTGTGAAGCATGGGCGATGAATGTTGCAGAGAAGAGAAGGCTGGAGGCAGTGGAGATGTCATGTGTGAGGGCAATGTGTGGTGTGAATATAATGCAGAGAATTGTATTTTGGGGAAGTTAGGAGGAGGTGCGGGATTGCCAAAACTGTTGTCCAGAGGGCTGAGGAAGGGTTGTTGAGGCGGTTCGGACATGTAGAGAGAATGGAGTGAAACAGAATGACTTCAAGAGTGTATCAGTCTGTAGTGGAAGGAAGGTGGGGTAGGGGTCGGCCTAGGAAAGGTTGGAGGGAGGGGGCAAAAGTGGTTTTGTGTACGAGGGGCTTGGACTTCCAGCGGGCATGCGTGAGCATGTTTGATAGGAGTGAATGGAGACGAATGGTTTTTAATACTTGACGTGCTGTTGGAGTGTGAGCAAAGTAACATTTATGAAGGGATTCAGGGAAACCGGCAGGCCGGACTTGAGCCCTGGAGATGGGAAGTACAGTGCCTGCACTCTGAAGGAGGGGTGTTAATGTTGCAGTTTAAAAACTCTAGTGTAAAGCACCCTTCTGGCAAGAGTGATGGAGTGAATGTTGGCGAAAGTTTTTCTTTTTCGGGCCACCCTGCCTTGGTGGGAATCGGCCAGTGTGTTAATAATAATAATAATAGTTTTTGTGCAGATGGTGAGGCTCAGGTTAGGGAATGTAGGAGGAAGGGCAAAACTATCTCCCTGTGAAAGTAGGATTTAGACAGGGATGTGTGATGTCATCATAGTTGTTTAACATATTTTTGGATGGGGTTTTAAAAGAAGTCAGTGCTAGTGTTAGAAGTGTGGTATTAAAAGATGCTGGTGTTGATACAAAGTGAGAACTGTTACAGTTGATCTTTGCTGGTAACTAAACTTCTAGGCAGTGATAGATTGAATATCAGATTGAAGGAGGCAAGTAGGTGTACAGTGAACCCTCAGCTAATGAGCTAATAGTAGGGAGGGTGTGTCCATTAAAACTGTCAGTGAAATCTAAATTATTAGAATATTTTTCATGATCATAACACTAATAAACAGTTTTTAGTTTTAACCAAGTCCATTAAATCCAAAAACAAAATTTACCTAGTGGATGCAACAACAATGGATAATTCTGGATTTAATGGAGTTTGTATAAAAATAACAGAAAATAGTTTGAAAAGAAAGAGGAAAGAACACAGGAGTGCCCCGAGCAATGTCGAGAAGCTGCAAAGTACCAAGCCTAGAAAGCATTCCTTGCTTGCGATTGGACTCTCATTATATACGAAAACCTGGTATCTGGGCAGCTAGTACATGAGATTCCACCATAGTAGTACTATGCCATGAGCTCAGCTCACTCAGATAAACTGTGAGCAGTAAATTTGGGCCTAAATATGAGAGAATAGGTCAATGCAGTAGTTGTGCACCATATAAAAAAAATTCTGCTACAGTGCATGAGAAAAAATTACACTATGTTTTTGGTTTAAAATGATTGGCTTCAGGACTGAAAGTAGCAGAAATGTTTGATTTTTTCCAATATTCCAGAGCACAATACACATCCAATTGGCCAGTCTACTATGCATTTAGGAATGCACTGACATTATTTATTCAATGAAGTAGTCTGCAAAACAGTAAGTCTTCTATTTTTTTGTGTGAATAAAAATACAAAATGGAAAGCAAGAGTAATATAAGAGGGGCCTCAAGACATAACTAAGGAACAGAGGAAATGTTTTTTAGTGCCAGAAATGTCTACTTTGTTTATTCTGGACCCTATTTTTAAATTGACAATTTTTTAATTTTGTGCAAAATTGGCCGAATTACAGATTTCTGATCACTTTATTGTGTAGTTGAAATAGGTAAATGAGCGGTTTCTTGTACTCAGTAGATAGAATAGAAGGAATACTAGCAAAACAGCTATGGGTTTGGTCGACTGGGACAACGTAATTGGCCAAAAATAGGGTACAATGCGGGCAAAATCACTGATGCGTAAATACTGCCGAGACCGCTAACTTTGCAAGAGGACAATTCCATAAGTTTTCCATCAAATTTCATGCTTTTGGTTTCATTACCTTCAGAAAAAGATTATTATTTCACAAGGTAAATTTTTTTTTTTAAATTCTTTGACCCAGAGGGCAAGTTTGAGATCAGGTGTCTCAACCCTAAAAGGGTTAAGTTTGTTGGGTAATGAAGACCCTAAATAGGTAACATTATAACCCTTGATATGAATTTCAATATTTTGAATTCTTGTAAAATCATAAATACATAAATTTAAAATGTCCCTTTTCTATCCCAGAGGTACAAAATAATTTTATGCACCCTGTATATCACTCTGTTATAAATTATAATACTGTACATGTATATACTTTAACTTTCAGGGACAAGCATTAGATTCAGAACACTTATCAGAGTTTACAGAGGATGAGAGTGACACTCCAATGGGTGCTCAAGTACGAGGATTCCTCCGCCTTGACATTCTGTATCTTCGTCCCTTCCTAATTCGCCGTGTGACACATCAAGAGGTAGGCTTTTCCTACGTTATTAATGTGCCTTCAGTATGTTCTTTCATATATTGTGTTATTCATGAAGGTTTTCTAAGGCAAGAGTGCAACAGTTTTATAATTAAATAGTTATATATGTTACATATTTAATGGAATTTTTGTGGTGGGAACTCCTCATTTTTAGAAATCATTTGAAAGAAGCTGAGAGTAAACATGAAAAAGAGCAGGTAATGAGAGTTACAGAAAGTCTAGGCAATAAAAGATTAGACGTCAAGTGAACGTAGTGCACTAACTAATATGGCACCAGTGACTTAAATTTAATACACAATCTTATTAGTATAAAATATGCTTAAAAAGTATTGTGAAAGAGTTTTACTTTACCTTAAATTTTGTTTCTCTTGCTTGTTGATACATAAGTGCTTGGAGATTGCTATGTAGCTCAATCGAGTAGTAGATTTTTATACAATTGCAATTTCTTAGGATATTAATAAAGCTACTGAGAAAGGTTGTAAATACAAATAGTATGGACATACTGTGGAATCTTATACTTTATGAATGCAAGAAAAATATAAAACTATACATATTTTGTCTAATATTTTTAATTGGGGATGAGCGAATTGGTCATATAGAACCAGGGGAATAAGCATTCAGGTTTGATCCAGGTAAGGGGAGATAGTCTACTTTCGTGGATCTAGAGCACTCGCCTGCATTATTCTGTTATACAGTGGAACCCTGAGTTTTGAACGCATTGACCATTGAATGCTTCGAGTTTCAACCGCTTTTTTCGAACCAATTTTGTCCCAAGTATCGAACTTGCCCTGTGTTTCGAACCGCTTAAGAGACCTGTTTGCCTGCCCTTGAGCCAGTCTCGCTTTGTTTATGCTTGAGTGAACACTAACCTGCATGCTCATTTAAACATTTCACAGTTAATTCATTGTGTTTGGTGCTTGTTTATTAAGTGCAACTGTGAAATAAGCTACCATGGTAGTGGTGGATGGTGCCTTCTTCAGAGATTAAGGAGATTTGTGCAATGTGGAATAGGGTGCAGGCATTTGCTGAAAAATATCACCCTGAGCAAGCTGAAAAGGAGCCATCTCTGCAACAAGTTCAGTGACAAAACCATGTCCCATTTTAGAGAAATCTTAAAGAAGGGAAGTAACCCCAGATAATGACTTGTTACCTAAAGTCTTTATGGAAGGGGATTCCCCTTCCAAATAATAAGTGCTCCCTCACTCCTCCTCCCTACTTTCCAGATGTCATCAACAATCTTCAATAAAAGTAAGTAAAAATGTTATTTTATGTATTTAAATGTTTATCTATTACTAATTATACTATGTATGTTTTTTGTGTATGTAAAATCATAGTTAATCTTTATAAAATGTGTTTTTTGTGTGAATATTTTTGGGTTTCTGGAATGGATTAATTGTATTTACATTATTTCTTATGGGAAATATTGCTTAGTTTTGAACGTTTCAACTTTAGAACTAGCTCCTGGAACAGATTAAGTTCGAAACTCTAGGTTCCACTGTAATTGCATTTTGAAATTAGATTTAAAGTACTTGCTACTAATAAACAAGTTTGAAAGTTCCAGTACAATAATGTAATTATTACAGGTGCGATCACATGCCAATGACCTCAAGAAACAGTGCTACCAGTCAATCAATGTTCAAGCTTCAGAGTCAGAAGAAGAAGAAGAAATCTTTACAGCTCGGTAAAGATATTCACCAAAATTAAGCTAAATTGTCTACTGGGTACTGTGTATATATATTTTATTAATGTTGCACTAAAAAAGAAAGTGTCTATAAATATAATTTATATCAGTTTAGTAAAATACTTTATATAGTTTTCAGTAAATACAACTGTATATTTATTAATGTGTGTGTGTGTGTGTGTGTGTGTCACTGGAGCAAAAAAAAAAAAAAAAAATAATTTATGTACCTTTTTACATTCATTCAGTTGCTATCTTTCCACAGTGTGCTGGCATCACAATTCAGGTTACACTTTGCTGCAACAGCCTCACCCTTTCTCAGAGTGCAGGCATTGCCCTTCCCACCTCCAGGTCTGGCTAACCGGTTTCCCTGAATTCCTTCATAAAAGTTACCTTGCTCACATTTCAGCATCGTGTCCATTCACTCCAGTCTAACATGCTCATACAAGTCTGCTGGATGTTGATCAAGCCCCAAAACTCAGAAGTCAGAGGAAAGTGGTAGGTAAACCCCCCACTTTCTTCCAGCTGTTCCTGGGACAAACCCTACACCCTCCTACTCTCCACCCTAGATTTATACTCGTCATTCTATTCCTTTTCATCCTTTCTACATGCCCAAAACATTTCAACAACTCAGCCCTCTGAATTATACCTTTGGTGACCCCACATTGCCTTTTAGTTTCTGCACTCCAAATTCTATGCACGATATTCACACCACACACTGCTCTAAAATGAGAGATCTTCAGTGCCTCGCTTCAGTGTTCACAGCCTATGCCTGACACCCACAAAAACATGTTTGTACCACTGTACTCGCGGTAAATTCCGATCTTTGCCTACATAGTTCTACCGTTCTTTTCACATAACCCAACTTCCCCATGCCTTCCCTCATATATTGCATGATTAACATTATCTTTCATGTCTAAGCACATCTTCCTCCATACGCCCTCCCTCCAGTCTCATATTTAATGTATCACTGCCTAGACTTTTTGTTACCCTTATTACCTTGCTCAGTGGCAGTGCTAAGGGATGCTTCAGCTATCCAAAATAAAAATAGTAATAATATTGCTACTTTGTCTCCTAGCCCCTCCTTCCAACCTGATAGCTTCCTTAAAGTCCCAGTATAGAAATTCTGGTGCTGCCCTGACATTGCTCTTTTCCATATTCACTTTTAATTTCCTTCTTTTACATACTCCTCTCAATTTCATCTACCAACTTTTGCAACTTGTCTTAAGAATCTCCCAAAAGAAGTGTGATTCATCAGCATAGAACAACTGTGGCAAGTCCCACGCCATTTCCCCACACCCTGGCATTCAACTTTTTACAACCCCATCTATAAATATGTTAAGCAATCATAGTGAAATGCATCCCTGTCCAAGTATAATTTTCACTTGGAAGTAGTTACCCTCTCTTACATGCACTAACCTGAGCATCACATTTTGCATAAAAACTCTTAACTGCATTTAGTAACCTAAATCCTATTCCATACCCAAGTACTGTATGTATAACTATAGGTTTAGTGTTTGCCCCCCCCCCTCCCCAGCAGGTAATAATAATAATCCTACTCCATACATTTTCAACATCTGCAACATGGCTACCCTATTATATGCCTTTCCTAAATCCATAAATGGAACTAAGAGCTCTTTACCCTCAAGTACTGCTTACTTAAATGCTTCAATGTCAACATTTGGTCTACATATCCCTACCCTTAATAAATTCTCCCTGCTCCTCTGAAATCCTAAATTTTGTCTTATCCCCCTATTTTTATTATTTTTTTTTATTATCACACCGGCCGATTCCCACCAAGGCAGGGTGGCCCGAAAAAGAAAAACTTTCACCATCATTCACTCCATCACTGTCTTGCCAGAAGGGTGCTTTACACTACAGTTTTTAAACTGCAACATTAACACCCCTCCTTCAGAGTGCAGACACTGTACTTCCCATCTCCAGGACTCGAGTCCGGCCTGCCGGTTTCCCTGAACCCCTTCATAAATGTTACTTTGCTTACACTCCAACAGCACGTCAAGTATTAAAAACCATTTGTCTCCATTCACTATCAAACACGTTCACGCATGCCTGCTGGAAGTCAAAGCCCCTCGCACACAAAACCTCCTTTACGGAGTCCAGTCCCTGGACCAGTTATGTACCTCTGTAATCTTTTGACTACTGCCCACAGGATGGGTATGGGGTGCATAATAAACATATTAAACTAACTAACTAACCCCTCCCTCCAACCTTTCCTAGGCCGACCCCTACCCCGCCTTCCTTCCACTACAGACTGATACACTCTTGAAGTCACTCTGTTTCTCTCCATTCTCTCTACATGTCCGAACCACCTCAACAACCCTTCCTCAGCCCATTTACAACAGTTTTGGTAATCCCGCACCTCCTCCTAACTTCCAAACTACGAATTCTCTGCATTATATTCACACCACACATTGCCCTCAGACATCTCCACATATCCCCCTAATCCTTTGAATAATGACTACCAGAAACTACCTGGTATTCTCAGCAGGTTTATTCCCGTGATTGTTACATTCTTTCTTTTTCCCTTTTACGAGGAAACTATCATGCTTTCTGCCAATTCTTTAGCAATTTCCCGTCTATCATGAATATGCTGAACCCACCAACCACTCCAACACTGTTCCCACCCTCTTTTAACATCTGTCTGAATCCCATCTATCCCAGTGCTTTACTCCCTTTCATTCTTCCCATTGTCTCATGCACTCTCCCCACATTCACCTCAGGCTCCCCTTCACGATGATATCCCTTCCTGCCCCATTATGAAATTACCACCTTCCTTTATCATCAATATTCAACTTGTCAGAATATGCTTTACATCTTTCTAGTACCTCCACCTCCCCATCTAGTAACTCCCCTCTTTCATTTTTAACTGCAAAGTCTATTTGCTCTCCAGGCTTCGTCACCTTATTGATCTCTCTCCAAAACAATTTTTTTTTTAACACGCTGGCCGTCTCCCACTGAGGCAGGGTGACCCAAAAAAGAAACACTTTCACCATCATTCACACACAATCACTATCTTTGTAGAGGCACACAGATATGAAAGTTCAGATGTAACTCCCAACAGTAAATATCCCAAACCCCTCCTTTAAAGTGCAGGCATTATACTTCCCACTTCCAGGACTAAAGTCCGGCTAACCGGTTTCCCTGAATCCGTTCACAAGATATTACCCTGCTCACGCTCCAACAGCTCGTCAAGTCCCAAAATAATTTTCAGCAATTTACTGATAAAGACTTGCCTGTTGGTTCTCTTTTTGCACTCCCTCACCACTCTTACCCTCCCTCTTTCTCTCCATATACTCTGCTTTTTAACATTTTCACATTGCAAAAACCTTTCATTTACTTATTTTTTCTCATCCACCAATCACTCCTCTTCCCACCCACACCCACTTTGTTTAGATCTGTCTGAAACACTCTCTCAATTCATTTTCATCTTACCCATTGCTGATAGTCTTCTTGTACTCCATCTACCCCTTTTACTATAGAACCCCTAATAATGATCTGACATTTCTGTTGCTCCTCTAAAGAAATGCTCATCCATAAGTCTGCTCATTACCCTTTTGTCTACTAATACATTGCATAAGCTGTTATCATTGCACTATATCATATCTCTTATACTTACAAGTACTGTCTACAAGCAAATCCCTATATGCACACAACTCAGTTAAGGGCCCCATTATCATTTATCCTTAGTACCCCAAACTTACTTAGTTGAGGGGTAATCTGAAATGTGATGTCATCACCCTTCTGGTGAGAGAATGGATAATTTGTAACTAATGTAAATATCAAAGAAGGTACTGAACCCCCTGTGTCTGTGTCTGTCCAGCAACCTGTTTTATACAGGCGATGTCTGCAGGTGTCACCAGCTGCAACGTGAACTATAATTTTTTATAGCTCAACCTTTACCAGCACAAGTAGAGCTCTAGCTCAAGGCCCTTTAATGCCAATGTCAATGTTCTTTGAAAAATTGTAATGGATGATTATAACTAAATATGCACAGTGCGCACACAGCTACAGTTTCAATCCCCACCCGATTTATCTTTGATATGTATTAGACTAGGCGAATCTCTATCCATAGTTCATCTTACTGCAGACACCACCATCTCATCAAGGTATTATACAGTGCAGCACTACTCTATTTCTGTATTTGCTGGTACCTATTGGAATGCATCTCTCAGAAATCTGAAGAAGTTACTGTATTACGTAATGCATGCTGAGACTTGCTACTATTGTCAGGGGTTAATACACTAGATTATCATCATCAAGTTAGGCACTGAACCCAAAAGGGTCGTGCAGTACTACACTTTCCCGTCTTCGCATTAGGCAACTACAGTGCCCTATTTCAATTACCTATTGAATTAAGCATATAAATATGATCTTGTGCCATGAAGTTGAACACACAAGTAATTTTGATTAAACTTGTGTTGTTTCATTAAGAGTAAAGCTCCCATGAGTGATTTAGTGCCTCCAAATTAGTTACAGTAAATTAGATCACAACTCGAAATCAAAGGAGTTCAAATTATGCATTGTACCAATGCTTTTACAAATGTGTCAATTTGCTCATTGTATCATAATACTGTATAATGTAATTAGTGTGTGTGTGCGCATTTGTGATATATAAAATTAATTTAGTATCTTATTTTCATTTCAACATTTTCTACTGTCTAATAACTATTAGTCTCCTCTAGACACTGCTGTATAATCCTTATGGGTTTAATGCTACCCCATGATTATAATCCTCTAGACTAACATCTTTTCACAATTCAAGTCATATATCATTTCAGATTCTCTCTTTTAATCATTGTTCCTAAAGATGTATTCTCTAACTCTTCATACTTGGGTATTCTCTTTGTTCATGTGAAATTTCTCATTCTCTACATATGCTTTATCTGTCTACATACACTGCTATTTTGTCATGTGTGCCATATTTTTCTTATTTATCCTTTATTATTTTGTCCACACGTAGCTCTAAACCACAGCATATCACACATCCTTATCATTACCAGTTTTTTCCCCAATTTTTAGCTTGTGCATATTCTACAGCCTTCATCTAACAGGGGGTCTTTGATGTTTCTCCAGTGCTCTCGGTTATTTTGAAAAGCTGATCCAATCACCCCCCCTCCTCCCATTAATTTCACTGTTTACATCTGTGATTCCCTCTATATCCACTTAACTATAAACAGGACCTTCCATACTCAGATCAATTCTCTTGTAGTAAATTCTACAGCAACTCTTTAATAAGATCAGCCTAGTACTGTAGTAGTCTACAAACTGCTAGACTAGGTGGGAGATACAAAAGCAGTTAAAAATTATATACTAAAACTCACAGCACTATACCTGTGTAATCTTGTCGAGTAGGCAGAAGGTGTTGCAGCTAACTACAGATATTGCCTGGGTAGTAGCAAGACCCAGAATGGTTTTGCTCAGTGGCAGCTACAGCAGAGGGAGGTACATAATTATATAATGTGTATGGAATCAGTAGATCAAGATGTCACTGCTGCAGCTAACTTGAGATGCTCATTACTGAGATCTAGAATAGTCTTGTCTGGCAGCAGCAGCAGAGGGAGCTATAACAACTGGGATGATCCCCAAAAACTTGCAAGCCTGTCTAGCTGTAGCTTTCGTTACCTCTCCAAGCCCAGCCTCACTCCAACATTTGCTACAATTTGTCAGTTTATTAAACTTGAACATTAAAGCTTAATTTAAATTTTGTATTCATTTCTTGATGTTTTGCAACTACAGTACTAAAATAATACTCCCATTTTCTCTACATACCGTTCTTTCTTTATGAACATTTACGAGGAAAAAAACAAAGGAGCATAAATACGTATATGATGCTCTATTTCACTCACTGACCAAATTATATTTATTGCATTTGAGCAATTGCCCAGCTAAAAAAAACAATATAAGGGATGATATTGTCAAAATAGTGGTTAGTTAATCAGAAACACACATTATAAGGCCTTAATTTATGGAATTCCAAAGAATCCGATCTATTTATACTACCTGTTATCCTGGAGCAGTTTGAATATCTAATGTGTTATTCGATTGCTTTGGATCTGTCCTTAATTACCACTCTTTCATTGTTAGCGTTCATTATGGCATGTCACTTATGTTTGTATTATAATTTTGCATACATTTTCTTGTTCTACACAGTAAACCCTTAATTTAATGAATGATTTGGAAACAAAGTCAGTTGGTTGTAGAATTACTTGTCCAGTATTTACAATCATGGCCAAAACAAATTCTATCCACCCTTTCCCCCCATTAGTCCATTAAATCAAGAGTTTACTGTATTTGGAAGTTTATATTACAATAATTATTATTAAACTAACATTTTCTTGTTCTATGTTTGAAAGATTATATTACAGTATAAGTAAACTATTCATTTTATATAAGGTACAGTAGACATTCATAATTCGCACAAGTTACATTCCTGAAACTTCAGTAAAAATGAATTCTGCAACTTATGGAGTGAAAAACACGTGAAAAAAATAGGAGCGAGTTCCTTACACCTCATGAAATCCAAACAAATAATTTTTACTATCATTTGTCAGTGAGGATGCTCTGTGAAATACCTGAACTCTAGTAAGGCTCAGACTGTAAAAGGGAAGAGCATTTGTAGCTAAAAAATGGTTACATTACAGTATTTGTTACATGCCTTCAAGTTGGGTTGGTTATGCCTACCTTCCTGAAGAGCGGGGTTGTGGCCCTACTGGGCCAATGTTGATAGGGTTGCTGTGATGTTGAAGATTGGAATTCATAACTGGAATCTTGAATCTTGGGATTCATATCCAGAACTAAATGTGCACTCATTTTTGGGCTCTCCTCCTTCCTTACACAGTTTTATAGTATAAAATTTTTCAATAATAATAAGATCAAGTGGAACAGCTTTTTGTTTTTTAATCCACACATTTAGTACTGTTCTATTTAGCTGTAATAACCTATTCCTCATTCTGTTCACTATGTCACATTGAGGATTACTTACAAAAGCCTTTGTTCACCTCAGTGTCAAATTGAACAGATCATCGATCCTCTAATACCAAACACTCATACTGTAGCCACATGTGCACTACCCTTCAGCATCTCAATTACCTCCATTTTTTTTCAAAATAGGCACAGTTCACGCTTAATTTTCTACCTTGCTTCATCTTTGCTTCATTTGGATGCCATGATAAATATCCATAGACAAGATGGGATGATGAAAAGGAGGAAAAGCTGAGCAATGAGCACTAAGTGAAAAATCATATGGTATACATCCAGATAAACTGATCTGTGTGAGAGGCTGTTTGTTTACATCTCCATTCACCCTACATTGCACATCTAAAACAATGAGTTGCCCAGTGCATAGTGATGGGACTGCCTGCCTGTCTTGTTGCAGTTATTTAATGGAAAGGAATTCCACTAGAGCATGCCTCAGTGAAAAATTAAGGTGTGCTTTATGGGTAATGAAAATCTAAAATTAAATAGCAGAATATTGAAAATGCAAACTATAATTGTGCAATTTATGGTTGTCTACTGTACAATAAATGCACAATATTATATGCTGTTTTCTCATGCAGGAAAGTGGCTACATTTATCAATGCAGTTAACACATTTGTGTTAATTGCTTAGCTAAGCTTATGCAAGATAGTTTTACCTACTCAGAAAACTAAAATATTTTAATAAAACTTCATACTTTTTCTCTTATCACATGGTGCATTTTTGGCCATATGTCTGCCCATGAAAGAATCTTTCTCTTATGGTGCAGTTAATCCATGATGATAAAGATTATAAGTTTAAGAATAGTCACAATACCATGGTTGGAATAAATCATCAAAAATCCACATTCAGAAGAGGAACCTGATGACAGCGTTTGTCCATCCTAGACCATTGTAAAGTCACAACTGCAGATTTTTGGTGACTTACCCTTAAGTACTGCAATTAAAGAAAAAGTTAATGGTATACAATATACTGGTTAATTTGGTCTTGTAGGATACTGGTTCTGGCATTATTATGGAACAAGGATTTTAAGCACAGTTCTCAGTTAAGCTGTCTACAATGGTTTCATTGCTACGGCACCTACTCCTTACTACAGGCAAGGAGTGCGAAGGTTGTATTGTCATTTATAATGAAGTAGATTTCTTAATTCACATTGTGTACTTAAGTGTTCTAACATTTGATCACTGTCAACAAGTAGCCTATTTACACAGTCTGGAAGGGTTTCAAATATTTTAAATGATTTGGGGCATATCACCAAAAAAATTAACCACATTATTAATAAATCTTAAAGATACAGTCTATAGTGTTTTTAACCAACATAATTGAGAATAGTATGAGAAAAGACATGCTTGAGTCAGTGTATTACTGTATTCTTGATTATCATTACAATCAAAAAGCACTAAACCAAACATACAGTGGAACCTCAGTACTCTAACAGCTCCGTACTCGAACAATTCAGCATTCAGACGCTTTGTTCGGTAAACAAATCGCTTGGTAGTTGACCGTTTGCTCGGCACTCAACCAAACAAACATTACCTGCTAGAACTTCGCTTTAAACTATTTCGTGTTCACATTTTTCGCTTTTTTTTTTTATTTGTATAAATGTCACCATGGGGTCTAAGAGGGTGAGTGATATCAGCCAACCAAAAAGAAAATTGGTTGGGAAAAATTCATTCTGTACTCGAACAGCCTTCTGGAACCAATTAAGCTCGAGTGCCAAAGTTCCACTGCATGTGTGTATTCTTGAGTAAAGGATATTTGTAATTTTTTTTTATTTGGGTTTTCTGGAAGGTATGTCCAGCACTGTATGACCCTTGTGGGTTTAGCACTTAGTTATGATTTTTTTTTTTATCAACAAGTTGGCTATCTCCCATAGAGGCAGGGTGACCCAAAAAAAAAGAAAACCCCAAAAAAGAAAATACTTTCATTATTCAACACTTCCACCATACTCACACAATCACTGTCTTTGCAGAGGTGCCCAGATACAACAGTTTAGAAGCATATATAGATATATAACATACCCCTCCAAACTGCCAATATCCCAAACCCCTCCTTTTAAGTGCAGGCATTGTACTTCCCATTTCCAGTACTCAAGTTTGGCTATATAAAAATAACCGATTACCCTGCTTACACTCCAACAGCTCGTCAGGTCCGAAAAACCATTCATCTCCATTCACTCCTAACACACACACATGCTTAGACAGGTCATCTCCACTGCCTCCAGCCAGTACATTATGTTCCAAAAGAAATGCCTGTTGTCCTGTGACCTCAAAATGACCTAGGTCATACATTCTTACCTATAAATCAGACTCAAGTCAGATGAGTTTAGAGCAAAAAGATAACCTTTAATACCAAATACAGTGGTTCCTTGATGATCGTAAGGCTCGATCATCGTAATTTTCGAAAATCGTTAACTTTATTTTCATCAAAACATTGGCTCGTGAATCGTCGTTTGACTCGCAAATAGTCGTTCGTCTGGGACGTGTACACACAGCCCTGAGCCACCTCACACTCCATTCCCAGCCAGTGTGCCATTGTTTATCAGTGAGGATGATCCCATGAGTTCATATGATACATTTCATAATATGCCATTTATTTTAGTGCTTGTAACTGCTAAATAAGTCACCATGGCTCCAAAGAAACCTTCTAGTGCCAGCCCTTTGGTAAAGAATGTGAGAAACACATAATTTAAGAAAAAGTTTGTAGAAAACTACGAAGGTGGTAGTGGTAGAGTGGAAGCAGTTGTGATAGTGGTTGATGGTGGTAGCAGTTGTAATAGTGGTAGATGGTGGTAGACGGTGCCTTCTTCAGTGATTTAGCGATACTACTAACTCCTCCAATGTTGGAGTTATATAGGGCTACAGAAAACACCGCCGCCTCAGCTGCTGCTTCACCACCATTATGGACGGCTTACTCTCAGTGGCCCTTATACACCCAACACAACACAAAACCTTGTGACATACATAATGACTTATTTTATTCATTCTAGAGTATATTCCATGTTTCTATATTATTAGTATTGTTTATTATGTCATATTACTTGAATTGTGATAGATAAATAAGCCGCAGAGTTGATATTAGTGTCGTATTCTCCAACAATAAACTCGCCATCCCTCCCTCACACAACCAAGTCTTCAATAAAGGTAAGTGTGATGTTAAATAAGAACTTAAGAAAGGAGGAACACTGCAACAGGCCTGGTGGCTCATACTAGGCAGGTCCTTCACAAATCCAACTGACTAACAGAACAAATGCTACCCAAGGAATAGGTTCAGGTGCAGGTCCGACTCAAATCCAACCCCTCTCACCCGTGTATTTATCCAACCTAAACTTGAAACTACCCAATGTTTTAGCTTCGATCACCCTACTAGGCAGACCGTTCCACTCATCAACTACCCCTATTACCAACGTTCATTTACATTTTATTAGTGCTGTACATTTATTTGGTATTCTTTTCTGCATGTAAATCTATATTTAAGCTAGGAAAGTGACCTAGAGTCCTTATGGAGGGGGATTTCCCTTCCAAACAATAACATCTCTTCTCACTCTCCTCCTCCCTGTCTTCCATTCATCAACAACAGCCTTCAATAAAGGTAACTGTCATGTTGAATGTTCATTCTTTTGTGCATGTAAATGTATCTTTAAGGTAAAAAAAAAAAAATTGTTGTTGATACTTCTGGGTGTCTGGAATGAATTAATTGGATTTACATTACTTCTTATTGGGAAAATGGATTCGAAAATTGTCAATTTCAATAATAGTCACACTTCCAGGAACGGATTAACTATGAAAAACGAGGGACCACTGTATTAGAAAGATTTGGAGACAGGAGGGAGGGGGGGGGGGGGGGCAAGGGGCGTTAAATCTCAAGAATATTGGTCGTCTGGTCTTGGAACTCAGCAAATGTGGTTAACTAAACTCAAAAGGTATGCCTCAAGGGAATACCAGTTACCTGCAATGACTATGCAGTGAAGTCTCTTTATAGAAGGGTAGAGAGAGAAGGCACTTCCTTATATTTTTATTGATTTATTTAATCATCAGAACCTTCATCAACATTTTCAGTTCCAAGTCCTTTGAATGAAGCAACAGGCACAAATGTAACTAGAGTGTAGAAGGGATGTGTTGAATCTTCATCTTCATTACGACGACGTGAGAGACGAACACGAATCCGGAAAGGAACATTCCTGAAAGAAGTTTCATCGTAAATACAAGTTTCAAAAAGAATTTCTTTTTTATCTTGCTGAAGCTTCCTGAGTTAGCTTTACCTCATTTGTACTTTTAAAGCTTTTATTTTCTGTGTGAAGACTATTGGGTATTAATAGTGATCTCACTGGCACAGTATATATATAGTCAAAAAAAAGGAGTATTAGTGTGCAATACCTAGCAGAGGTTACTGCCAGAGGGGAATCATAGGCCTAGTGTGCCGTGTGCAAAATAATAATAATAGAACTTTTCTTAGTCAGGGGAAAGAAAGTCTCCCTGATAATAGTGTGTATACATAGTGTTATAGTGTATACTACAGTGGCACCCTAGTACATGGATAATAAATGCTAGTGTCATGTAAAACACGTTAATTCAAACTGAAGTGATAAGCCTAAAGAGGCAGGTGCCAGAAGTCACCAGAAACTTACCACACAGGTCAGCTGTTAAATAATCTTCCTGGCTACCTCGCATATAATCTAGTGATACCAGTGAATAGGAGAATACAGTGTTATAGTAGCAACTAACCAGTAATATAATGGTACTTAGTGGAGTGGAGCGACTTTCATTAATTTTTTCTCTTTCTTGAAATACCAGACGTATACAGTGAAATTCATATAACCTGTAGTTACCAGCGGTCGCAATATACACAACGAGAAGCAAACATTACTGCACAAAAAAAAAAAAAAGTGTCTTTCCTCCAACAATTCCACCAGTCAACTATAGTGATAATATAGCATTTGTTGTGGTGGAGACGGAAAAAACCTAGAAAAGCTAGATACAGTGATCTATAAACAAGGGTTGAGACCTCGACTGTTCGCCATTGTAGGAGCTGCCAGCAATCACCGGGTCTTCAACACGCAAGTTATACTTTTGTATCAATCAAATCACATATTACTCAGTTAAATAATTTCCAGTAGTTCTTTCATGTGATAGCCAAATCAACGCCCAGTATTTTTTAAAAAATGACCCACTGATAGATCGAGGGTTCCCGAACACTTGCCGGGTTTAAAACGGATTCGTTGGACAATAAAGCAGACTGAAACAGAGGGGGTTTTGGGACCTTATAAAACACAAACAATAAATATAAAATGAACTTTCCCGGAAGCTTTCCTAATATACAAGTACTTTTGAAATAAAATACAAATAGACAGAGCGCACTTTAAGGAGGTTTTTTAAATTAGTATTAAAGAGGTTACTAGTAGAATTACAGTAAATCAACCATTCAAATCTTTGAAGCTCTGTTTTGTCTGCAGTAATAAAACAAACGGGTTTCCGCGGGTAAATTGCCTTTTTTGTGAAATTGGGTGTCATGCCCCTTGGCAGATTCCAAGATCTATCTACAACATTTTAAATCAGGGAAGTTTTTTTGGGTATGCCCAAATGAGATCAATCTGTGGACTAAAATCACATTGGTATTAAAAGAGGATAACTCAAAGCACCCTTCATAAAAAAACCTAGAAGCATTCTAAACAGTGGGAAATAAAAATTTGGGGCTGGATGGTATCGCCCCTTTAGTGGGCCCTGTAGTCAGAAAAAGTAGGCTGGAGGTCTGCCCCGGTAGTCGGTAAAGTGTGGTGTAATGCGTCCCGGGAGCAGTAATGGTGAAGCGGAGGTGCTGTCCCGGAAAACAGTAACGGTGAGGATGGAGGTGTGTCCTGGGAGACAATTAATGGGGGGATGGAGGTGCTGTCCAGGTGACAGTAATGGTGGGATGGAGGTACTGTCCCGGGGAGTCGTAAATTTGCAGGGGGGGGAGCAAATAAATGACCCCCGGGGGACAGGAGCTGTGCGAGGGAAAAAAAAGTGTAGTAAAAACAAATAAAACCAATATTTCAAACTTAATACCACAGGAGATAGCAAACAAGGGGACTCCACTAATTAGTGAGCAACATTTCCAAAAAAAAACTGGTGAGAGCCCCATTGTTAGTGTATGAGGATAGGAAACACACGGGGAAAAATGCACCAAAAAGGGGAATACAGTCACAAAACGCAAGGCAAAGGAAACCAAGCCTGTGTCATATATATTGGTATCTGCAAGCAGGGGAAACTGGAAAAACAGATGGGACGTGCAACTTTGACCACCCTAGAAAATGCCGTGCCCATATGACAACCACTCAAGAGGGACAGGTTTTTTAGTGCCAGGAAGAAAAAAAGAAACTGGCAGGAAATGGCAGAAATCGTACACCAAATCCAGTCATTCCTGGAGTGGAACCACAGTCAATGGCTTCCACTCCAAACCAACAGATAGATACTAATGCCAGAAAAAAAGTCCCCCCCCCCCCCAGTACCACCAGTCCGATGACATTCTTTTTTGCAAACATCCAGGACCTAAAACCAGCAACGAACAACAAAATATCTTTCATCCGTGGACTGCTTGCAGAGGCAAATGCAATGTTCGCGGCTTTCACAGAGACCCACATGAAGGATCACTTGGACAACGAAATATGGATCCCAGGTTACAACCTATACAGATGCGACAGAGTGAACAGGCAAAGGGGAGGGGGGGTAGCCTGTATATCGCAGAGTCACTTGTTTGCACAGAACTGCTTAATGCCTCAAATGATGTAGTGGAAGTTTTAGCAGTAAATATCGAGAACCAACACCTAGTCATTGTGGTAGTCTACAAGCCTCCGGATGCAATGTCCCAGCAATTCCAGGAACAGCTGTTAAAAATTGACCACTGTCTGGAAAATCTGCCAGCTCCTGCCCCCAACATCTTGCTCCTTGGGGATTTCAACTTAAGGTACCTAAAATGGAGGAATATAGCAAATAATGTTGTTGCAGTGATAACTCCAGGAGGCAGCTCTTACGAGAATTCACACACACACACACACACACACACACACACACACACACACACACACACGCTTTTAAATCTCTGCACAAAATTCAACTTAAACCAGCAAATAACAGAGCCTACTAGACTGGAGAATACACTAGACCTCATCTTCACTAACAATGATGATCTGATAAGAAATGTCACAATATCAAAAACAATATACTCAGATCACAACATAATCGAGGTTCAGACATGTATGCGCGGAGCTCCAGACTGACATAATGAGATTAGTCATGAGGGAGCCTTCACCAAATTCAACTTCAATACTAAGAGCATAAAGTGGGACCAAGTATACCAAGTCCTAACCGATATAAGCTGGGAAGATAGACTAAGCAACACAGACCCCAACTTATGCCTAGAACAGATTAACTCGGTGGCACTCGATGTATGCTCAAGGCGTATTCCTTTAAGAAAAAGGAGGAGTAGATGTAAAACAGAAAGAGACAGGCGCTCCCTTTACAGGCGACGAAAAATAACAGAGCGGCTAAAAGAAGCCAGTATATCTGAAATGCGTAGGGAGTCACTGGTCGAGAAATAGCAAACATCGAACTTAAGCTAAAGGAATCTTATAGGATTCAGGAATCGCGGGAAGAACTAAAAGCCATAAATGAAATCGAAAGAAATCCAAAGTATTTCTTTTCGTATGTCAAATCAAAGTCGAGAACAACATCCAGTATTGGGCCCCTACTTAAACAAGATGGGTCCTACACAGATGACAGCAAGGAAATAAGTGAGCTACTCAAGTCCCAATATGACTCAGTTTTTAGCAAGCCGCTAACCAGACTGAGAGTCAAAGATCAAAATTAATTTTTTATGAGAGCCACAGAATTTGGTTAACACAAGCCTATCCAATGTTATCCTGACGCCAAATGACTTCAAACAGGCGATAAATGACATGCCCATGCACTCTGCCCCAGGGTCAGACTCATGGAACTCCATGTTCATCAAGAACTGCAAGAAGCCCCTATCATGAGCTTTTACCATCCTATGGAGAGGGAGCATGGACACGGGGGTCATCTCACAGCTACTAAAAACAACAGACATAGCCCCACTCCACAAAGGGGGCAGTAAAGCAATAGCAAAGAACTACAGACCGATAGCACTAACATCCCATATCATAAAAATCTTAGAAACGGTCCTAAGAAGCAAGATTGCCACCCATCTAGAAACCCATCAATTACACAACCTAGGGCAACATGGGTTTAGAGCAGGTCGCTCCTGTCTGTCTCAACTATTGGATCACTACGACAAGGTCCTAGATGCACTAGAGGACAAAAAAATGCAGATGTAATATATACAGACTTTGCAAAAGCCTTCGACAAGTGTGACCATGGCGTAATAGCGCACAAAATGCGTGCTAAAGGAATAACAGGAAAAGCTGGTAGATGGATCTATAATTTCCTCACAAACAGAACACAAATAGTAGTAGTCAACCGAGTAAAGTCCAAGGCAGCTACGGTGAAATGCTCTGTTCCACATGCACAGTACTCGCTCCCATCTTGTTTCTCATCCTCATATCTGACATAGACAAGGATGTCAGCCACAGCACCGTGTCTTCCTTTGCAGATGACACCCGAATCTGCATGACAGTGTCTTCCATTGCAGACACTGCAAAGCTCCAGGTGGACATCAACCAAATCTTTCAATGGGCTGCAGAAAACAATATGAAGTTCAACGATGAGAAATTTCAATTACTCCGATATGGTAGACACGAGGAAATCAAAACTTCATCAGAGTACAAAACAAATTCCGGCCACAAAATAGAGCGAAAAACAAACGTCAAAGACGTGGGAGTGATCATGTCGGAGGATCTCACCTTCAGGGACCATAACATTATATCAATTGCAGCTGCTAGAAAAATGACAGGATGGACAATGAGAACCTTCAAAACTAGGGATGCCAAGCCCATGATGACACTCTTCAGGTCACTTGTTCTATCTAGGCTGGAATATTGCTGGACACTAACAGCACCTTTCAAGGCAGGTGAAATTGCTGACCTAGAAAATGTACAGAGAACCTTCACAGCGCACATAACGGAGATAAAACACCTCAATTACTGGGAGCGCTTAAAGTTCCTGAACCTGTATTCCCTGGAATGCAGGCGGGAGAGATACATGATTATATACACCTGGAAAATCCTAG